CGAAACATGTGAGGCAGGTGCTGACGAGGTGGAAAACTTAAAAAAGTGTCACATTTGACGGAAGGAACTTGATTGTTACTTCAGATATGTTCATTATGTTGCCATAGGAGTACATTCTTGAACTGATTGCATTCATAAATATTGTCATGACGGGGGGATGGCAGAATCCCTCTCGTCTCTCAAGAACAGCAATCATAAGTTAAAAAATTAAAGTCTTTGTGATAAAATGTAACTAATCTTACCTCAGACGGGGAACAGGCATCAGAAGTTGCAAAAATGTTGAATTATTCAGTATTTTCACAGGGGAAAATTCCATTTAAATCAGGGTTGTCCAAGATGGCCAGAAAACTACTAAATTCACTATCCTGGTCTTATCACTATGTCACATGTTGACCAAAGTCCACGACTTTATTTAAAACTAACCGTGCACTATACGAAGCCATTTTTACTAGCCCTGTGAAATACCCACGGCACATGACCACAGAGCGCGTGCCTTGTTGTACAGATGCAACCTTTTACATTTCTTAAGCTAGAGGGCAGAAGAATGTGGCCGTTGAAATAAACAGTGCTTTATTACATTCCCAATAGATGACTATGTACCCGCTAAGTTTGAATGAGATTGGTGCAAAGAAACCTGAGATTTGAAACTCTATTTTGACTATCGCAGCAAGGACGCCATGTTTGTCAGAGATCGACATAGGTCAACCGCAGCTGTGTAAGGGTTAAATAAATGTTCCCTTTTGGAGAATGAAAAGGGCTGCTTTGTACTGAAACTTCCCCTTTCCTTGCACATTTCCCAGTGATACCATTAAGTGTAAATTGGTGTAATGTTTGAGCAGTTCCGGTGTCCATAACAGTAGCTTCTGAATCAATATATTATTTCATCATCATTATAACATAACATCTAGTAATTCTGATGCTGTATTTGTTCTTGTAATAACTTTGTCTACCATACAGTTTGGATGTGAATGTTTTTCCTGGATTCAAGATTACTGAAATCACTGTTCAGTCTGTCCCATTTCTTTTTCATTGAGAAGTGTTTTTAGTTTTAGACAGGTTATTTAGCCTCCTGTTTTGATTTGTTTTTGGTAAAACTTTGTTTAGTACAAAGGAAATACCATACTCTAGAAATATGTTAGAGAGCTGTATTGTAAGATATGCAAATACTGCTTTCTGGAGTACAGTTTTACACATTAGACTTAGATAAGTGCACTTTATTGCATTGCAGTGATATTTTTACTTACATTTCCATTTCATGATTCCCTTGATGAACATTGAATCAAAAATTTTCCTTAATAATATTTTAACCAACATCATTTTTTGCAGAAAACACTGGTGAAGTTCCCCTTTTTGTTGTTGCTGTAAAGTATTTAACTTGAATCACATTTTTTTGTGTGTGTGTGTGTGAAAATCATGCATTGATCAACATTGTGGCAGTAGTACAAACGTGGTGCTTGATTTTTTCCAGACTTTCTTGTCTAAATTTAGGGGTGAATGAATGAATTATGTGGAAGCATAAGTTATTTAATTAAATATAGTACTTAATTCAGAATGTTACTGCATAACTTACTGCAGTTATCTTAAGTTGAAGCCTTTCTATGTCTCTTGTGGTTTGATTTGAAATGAAATGGTTCATCTTTGTTACATGAACAAATACAGCAATTTCTGTGTCAAGTGTTTGACTGACTACAGATGATGGGTAGGGCTTGTGGTCATGGAAGGGTATGTTTGTGGGTGTGTGTGCAGGTCTGCAGTCCGCAGCTGCAGCTGCTGTGGCCGCAGCAGGCTCAGCAGCAGGCGTGGGTAATGGGTTCTCATCTCTAGCCAACACACTTGCTGCGGGCTATGGCAACAACAGCTTGGGCACCATTGGCTCCCCAGCATTAGGATCTCTGGGATCAGGTATATTCAGAAAACAACCACCTCATGTTTTGTTTCATCATTATCTTGTGACCTAAAACAAGGTTTTGACAAGAGTGAAACAGGGTGTGGTGCATATGAATATTCAAACACAGTGGGACTGCACTGGGAACCTACTAATTGTATGGCCCACATGAAAACAACAGATTTTATGTATAGTGTAACTGTTAGTGTGTTTTGCCTTACTAATTGATCTGTCTTGTCTTATAAGGCTTTATATTGTAAATTTCTTGCAAATCCCAACCCCCTGAACTGATTGCTGTTTTAACAGATTTGTGTAGTATTGTCAAAATCTTCTCATGAAAATCGTTCTTTTTATAGAGAGAGCTATATCCTTAACTTTATGGTACAAGAAATACTTCTATCTGTAACATTAGATACAGTTTATTCATGGCAAGCATAACATGTTAGTAATAAAGATGACTAATATTTTGGACATTGTCTGTTATCTCATTTTTTGAAACTTTTGGGGAATGGGTCATTTCATAATTTGTTGTAAGGGAGAACAAATCTTGCTTGGTTGTACCCGTTGTTTCAGAGTGATCTGGATCCAGTGATTGAGACTTCAATGATCTAAAGTGACTAAAAATCTCTTCATTTTCAGACTATATTTTTAAGAGATGCATCACTTTATTACATTTGTTACTGCTCCATCATTTGATTTAATAAACCTGAAACATTAGTTTTTCTTTAAATGTGGGAGTTTTATGAACGTTTTATTTTACATAGTATTTTGACGCTACTTTTAATTTCAGATTCCTTCCTTCTCTCTGTTGATAAGCAAAAGATTTATATTTTGAATATGGTACTTCATGGTGTAGTGGCTTCTTCATGTACATTTCTAGACGCTTACATTTCATAACTTCTGTACTGGTGATGGTTGCTTTATTTCTTCGACAGAATCTGCAGGCTCACGATCTCCATCCCCCACTCGAAGAAACTTATTATCGCCAACCATTACTGCTGATTCCCTGACTCCTCGAAGACCTGCCATGAATATCCACATTTCCTGCTCCGGAATCTGTTCACATGGTTGTATACCCATGCTGTCTTCTTGTGCCTTGCTGTTGCTTGTGTTTTGTTTTATATAACAGTGTAATATCATGCTTGAAGCAGTGTATAGCAAACTTGCAGTGGAAAACATAGACTAGGAGACCATTTTAAAGTACGTTAACCTTAATTGATCTGTGCCGATATAGATTAGAGGCCCACTGTTCTTGTTACACTGTAACATTGCTCATATCCCACTTACAGATCAGTTACACTTTCAATTTATGTTGTCCTGTTGGCGAATCTGGAAACAATTTCAAAGTACATTTTAGAGTTTAATTTATTTTAATGATTAAACAAAACAGTCTGTCAAACTTTCAATTCTTAGAGGTAAAGGTAGTTCCATACCTGTAATAGGCTGTGGAGGCCTGTAGAGTTTGTGAAATGTTGATGCTCCTACATTTGTAGATTAACAGCTCACAGATGGCAGTGAGGTCAGCCTGTGTGCTGGTCTCCCTTTACTCCCATAGTGCGGCTGGAAGGATTAGGTCAGTTGAAAAATCCAGTGACCTCATCAGGATTCAAACCTGCGACCTTCGAGCCTGTAGCCTGAACAGCTGTGGTACTGTATGTGGCCACTTTCAGTTCACATCATTTGAAAAATTCACTGGATTTTTCGATTGACCTGAGCCTTCCAGCCGCACTGTGGTCCAGGGGTTGATTCAGCCTCTAACAAATGAGTACCAGGGATCATCCAAGGGGTAAAGGGCAGCTGGTGCATAAGGCTGCTATCTGTGAACCAGTTGTCTAGAAAATGTGGGAGCCTCGACATCTGTCAACACTATGGGCCTACACATCCTGTTACAGGGATAGCTTCACCTATCATTTAAAAAACAAGGGAAAAGAAGGACAGTGGGTGTTTCAGCATTTGAAAGGTTCCCTATATATTTTCATTGGTTCAGGACCCTAAATATGTAATGGAGGATGTGAATAAGGTGTTCTGTCTGCTCATGTCTATACTAGAATCCTCTGATATAGGGCCCTGTAATTTAATACATTGAAAAGGATTATTGATTTGAGTATGAACTTTTCTGTTCTTATGTCATTTAATTTATGGCAGATACTGACTCTGATCTCTGTTTAAATGAACTTATTCTTACATTCATGGTGAATAAGAATTTATAATTCTTAAGAAACAGATTGATTTTAGAAAGTTGTGCATTTTGCCTGTGGAGAGATGTGTGTGGATTAAAGTCACAGTTAGTAGAGACGTTAAAGATTATATTATTCTTGTCTAAATTGCTTTCAGAGTGCTGTTGACTTGTTACTATTTTCTGTTTAAGAAATTGTTACTACTTAGCCGTACTTCCTCTGTTTTCTACATTTAGAAATTCTGTGACATTGATATATTCTATACTAAATTTCTTCCTTCAAAACTGTTAGTATTGTTCAATTGGAGTGGAACTATAATTAAGCTGTTGCTTGTTGATACTGTTGTGTCTTTTTTTTTTTTCCTGGAAATGTAAAGAAATGCAGTTTCATAGTTATACTGTTACATAATTTGTCCAGTAATGACAAGTTTGGAGTTTGTTTAAATAGCGCTTAGCTGTGGAAAATATTTGTTATGTTGTGTATTTGCGATGGTTTTATTCAACATATTATGTCCTCAGGGCTTGGACTCAGCAGCGCTAGCTCTGGGCGACGGGACTCATTTGACAGAAACACTTCAGCATTCTCACCATCTTTAGAATATGGTCGTGGCAAGTGGCCAACGAATTATGGAGCACTCGGTATGTACTGCCATCTACATGTGTGTGCGGTTCTGTGAATGAAAGAGCGCTGAAGACTGAGCCATGAAATTGTAGTATGTATGGGCAAGGAATGTTGCAAGTTTTCAGTGCCGATAAGCTGAGCGCTGGCTCTGATTACGTCCCTCTTGATATTTTTCCCGAATGGTTCTCAAGAATTTTGTCTCTGTCTTGTATTCTGCGTTTGTTTCATATGTATAGCCCATTTTTTCGGCATGACATATTGAAGAGTCAGTTTTCTTAAATGTATTTATGTTGTACTGTTTTGTGGTACCTTTGTTCCATAATATTCCTTCTATGATTCTGTATAATTTACAGTTCTCTTGTGTGTGCGCACATGCCAGCGTGCGTGTGTGTGTAATTTGGGAAGGGTTGTTTCCATAGTCACGTTGCTATATAATGCCTTCATCCTTGTTAGTACAATTCACTTGCATTGTCTTCTGATTCTAGTAGAACAGGTGATGTAAATTTTCCCTAAACTGAAACATTTTACTGTGTTGGGCATGGAAGAGGTTTAAGATAAGCAGTGAAAAAAAATGCTTATCACTAGGATTTTGTGATCACCGTGTCCAGACTCAAACTACAGAAGATTACTCAAATTGGGCATTACTGTTTTCCATGGAGGTGGAATGCTGCACAAGGTTCTGAAGCAGAAGGAGCCTGAAGAGTATGGTGTTCTGGATTGTAGTACCGTTTGAGGAAAGGCACACATTTCAGAGGAACAAATTGCTCCCATCTCTAGGGTTGGAGAGTAAGCTTATCACCTGCTCACCATTTTGTCTTGATTACTCTTTGACCCTGAAGATGGAAACAGCATGATTCTCCAAAACGTTAGGCTTTTTCCCACTCTTCACATTTCTACAACCCAGAAAACCGTATTCTTCTTAGTTCCATGAGAACTTTAAATCCAACATAGAGTTTAATAACTGTCAGACATAAGGCTGCACCATAGCTCAAGTGGTTAGTCGCTGGCTCCCCACCGCAGCGGCCCGGGTTCAATCCTGTGTCTTCTCAACCGGTATTTGTGGTGGACAAAGTAGCACTGGGGCGGGTTTTTCCGAGTATTTCGGTTTCCCCTGTCAATCTTCATTCCATCAAATTATCCATAATCATAATCACCCAGGGCAGGCACAATAGGCCAATGAGCCCTGCTGAGTCAACCCAGTTGGACTCCAATCCCCACTAAGCGAATTTAAAAAAAAAATTGAACTGTCAGACATGCTGACTTGAATGTACTCTGACAACCGTAATACAATTTATTTCTTCACACTCATTCAGATATTAATATAACTGTATTCCTCTTCCTAGCACCAAAAAAATAGTCATTGTTAATCGTAAATATCTGGTTCTGCCTACCTCATATCCATTCCCTCAGTGTGTACACAAGTGTGGTTTGACCTGTGAATTGTACATTTGTTTTCCAGGTACAGTGACTGCGTCTCCTAGCCCTCTAGGCATACAGGGTTCCCTCACACCCCCACCGACTCTCTCTACTACTGGAATGGGTAGTTCTTCAAATTTGCAGCTGGGAGCACTAATGTCTGGTGCTTCAGGTGCGGGTAGTCGTCTTATCTCGGCAGCACCGGGAGCTGAAGCGGCGAAGTACCGAAATGGAGGGTTGCCAGGCATCAACACAAACGGAATGTTTGGCTCAAATAGCTCACTGTTCACAAAGCTAGGAACTGGCACCCGGGCCAGTGGTGTGGCGCCAACTCTAGAAAAACCTCCTGGCAGAAGTAGATTGCTAGAAGACTTCAGGTTTGTTCATACAGTGTTTTGAGAGTAAGAAAACCTTTTCAGCATGGGTGATTCCACAGGCTTTATTACACTGACTGTACAGGACAACTCTAAAATTATTGTCGATGTTTCCGTTCATAAGCCACGGGAACCCCGGCAATAATTTAGAATCACTCTGATATGTGTGATAGTAATGGAAGTCTGCCAGACCATGTACAGCAGAGATTAGAGATGTTGTGACATTAAGACTTAACTCTTCTGCCTGCTCTCAAATAATGATATGAAGCAGTGCATATTTGCATTTAGTGCTGCTGGAGGAAGTTGTTCGTAAATATTAGAATAGACAAAACTATAATTTTGCCTGTGGTTCTATGTGGGTGTCAAACTTGGCCTCTGACATTAAGGGAGAAACATAGACTGAAGATGTTTGAGAACAGGGTGTTGCGGAGATTATTTGGACCAAAGAGGGATGAAATGATAGGAGGGTGGAGAAAACTGCATAATGAGGAACTTCGTAACTTGTGCTCTTTGCCCATTGTAATTAGAAGGATAAACTTGAGGGTAGGGTGGGAATGGCATGTAGTACGCATGGGCAAGAATAGGAATGCATATAGGATTTTGCTGGGAAAAGGAGCACTAGGAAGGCTTAGGTGTAGGTGGAAGGATAACATTAAGATGGGTCTTAGATAAGGTAGGGTGGTTTGGACTGATTCATCTGGCTAAGAATAGGGACCAGTGGAGAGCTCTAGTGAGCATGGAAATGAAACTTTGGGTTCCATAAAATATTGGTAAATCCTTAAGTAGCTACAGAACTGGCAGCTTTTCAGGAAGGGCTCAGCTCCATGGATTTAGTTGATTGGTTAGGAGGAAGTTCTTGGCATTAGGAAACCCATGAAATTCTAAGAGTAATGCATGAGGGGCCTTAAATGCTGTCATTTGTTTGATAAGGCCAAGGGGACTCTCATATTAAGCATTATATATTACACACACACACACACACGTATATTGTCACGTGTTGGGTATATAACGCGACAATTTGGTGTCAGAAGTGGGATCGAACTTACACACGTGACCGTCAGAAGTGGTTTACGAGCTTAAACATGCCTCGACGAATAATTGAACTTAAAGTGCATCGAGTACTATACTTCTGCAAGATGGACTCCCAGCAGATGATGGAACTCCTGCTGAAAGAGGTGGAGGCCAATCAAAAGAAAGATAGAGGAATTGCTGGCAAAATTGGAGGCTGACAGAAAGATCAATATGAAGGCATGGCGAGAAGAGATGGCCGCCATGAGAGACAAAAGGGTGAATGCCAACCACAATGAGACTATGGCCTGCCAGGAGATGGAGCCACGTCTACAAGAAGAAACACCGGCTCCAGTGGAAACGAAACCTGCGGCGGCACGACCAACGAGAGGTACCCGTAGAAGACGCTGGAATAATGCCGGTTGGAGAACCTAAGAAGAAAAAGCGTAGGGACCGACATAAGCAAAATATGAAGAATCCGACACGGGGAAGTTGTGGACCCCAGAAGGAGTTGTCTGTAGCCCGCAGAGGGATGAGCTGCCGCGTGGAAGTCACACAGCAGAAGAAACCCAGCAGGAAGGTGTCCCGCCATGCAACAGTGGCATGGCGTCGGAGGAACATCTTCAGGAAATGTTGGACCTGAGGAGATTATGAATCCCGGATGAAGTTGGCTGCCACCTGCAGGAAGACATCCCATCGCATGACGTTGGAGAAATGCCTTCCAGAAGGAAAATCCCCTGGGAACCTTCGGATGCCAGAGAAAGGACTTGGCGCCACGGTCTCGTGCCAGCAAGTGGCGGGAAGAACACAAGGAATGATGACATCAGCAAGTTCAAACCACATCTCAGGTGCTGTTACGTCGATATAAGAAACTTCTGAAGAAATTAAGGATCAAGAATTGGAACTTATGGAGGGGTAGGCCCCCTCCAAAGTGGAAAAAAAAACAACGGATTGAGGAGGAGCCGGTAAAATAGAAGAACCGGCCTCCCCAGAGAGAGTGAATGTGCCATGGGAGAAAGTGAAGGAGTGAGTGTGTGAGCCGGAGCAACACAGTTGGAATCTAGCAGCAGTCGCGGAAAGACGAACCGGACGCGTGTGATAATCAGTGACAGTTTGTGATAACTGAGAAGTAATGGGAGTGTGTAACACAGTGACACTTATATAGCTCCCGTACTGTGAATACGTATAGACTACTGAAGATAGAGTGAAGAGATTATTGCGAATAGGGTTATAAAGTGTGGAACCCTGCAACAGTGTTATAATCAATTGTAGTTAGGACTTGTAGGTTGTTAAATAAACCAATTAACAATCCGAACGGCATCTTCAGTAACAAAACACGCTACAATATATATATATTACTAGTTATAAACTTCCAGTGCTTGAATGTTGTCATACATGGCCTTAAGAGGTTGAGCTGCCACACTGCCACAAGAGGAACACAGAATTTGTGTGTAGGTTTGTATCCTGTCCCCTTCCATACTTACACCTTCATCAGTGCTTTATCAATCTCTATATCTATCATCCCATTCTTTTCCCCATCAAATAAGGAGACATAAATATAGAAGAGCGATCTTGTGTGCTCTCTACCCGCTTCCTCTACCTCACTTCCTCCTCCCTTGGCACGTTGTTAAGCTTCTTCATGAGTAGTATCGTTTCTTATATTCCATGGTACACATTTCTTTTACCTTATTGAAGAAATAACTTTAATCTTGCTCCCAGTGTGTGAAATAGAACAAGACAATAAAGGAGGTTAAAGAATGTTATGATATACCATAAGATAAGATATACAAAGTGTAGAATATACCGTCTACAGAACAACAGTCTGTATTCAAAACAAAGAAGACACACTACTGCATCAACGTTTGCTTTTGTTGTGTTTATTAACCCTTTTGCGCGGTCATTTAAATTCCGCTGCCGTCTCTCCAGCGGTAATATATTCAGCCGGCCATTTAAATTTTGCTCGAAAATGATTTATTCATCATTGTTCTTAAATTATATGAGATAGGAACATGAAACTTTCACTAAAATGATCTTAAAAGGTGGTTTTATAACCTTACCTTATAATATGAGCACCCTGTATCTCGGCAGTGGAAGCAGGTTGTTTAGTATTTGAGCGGTGAATGGTACGCCTTGAAGCATGAAACTTTCACTAAAATGATCTTAAAAGGTGGTTTTATAACCTTACCTTATAATATGAGCGCCTGGGATCTTGGCAATGGAAGCAGGTGTTTAGAATTTGAGCACTGTAAGGTAGGCCTTGAAGCATTCTTCTAACACAACGCTGCCCCACATTCACCGCTCCAATATTGTGTATCTTTTCTTTGGCTCTTTTTTTTAACCACACATCTTCTGTGCGACCTTGCCTTCTTCCCCGTGAGGGGTATACGTTCAAGGAAATATCTTTCCGTGAGCCGTTTGGTTGCCAGGTCAGCTGTAGTAAATTTAACGTTACGAGTTATCATAACAAGGGGTTGTTGCTATGCCTTTGATATTCCATTNTAGTCTTGTATAACATTTGTATTAACTGATGGGAAAAAGTAGCTGCTATGTACTGTGCAAAATCAATCGATCTTGCAAGAATAAATTTTTGGACATCCCTCTTCTAAGAATTCCAATTGAGTGTGTTAGTGTGGCCAGCTCAGAGCAATATGATATTATAAACACAGCACATATCATGTCTCTGCTGTTTATAACTTCATAGGAAAGAAAACACGACATTCATAACAGTTTGAATGACGAAACCTCTCCCAAGAGCAACAGGAATTTTGCTGCAAGACAGGCATATGTAACGATGACTTAGCGCAGAAAAACTCGTGCCTCATTATATACTGTCCTTCTGACAACAGGCCAGCGAAAAATCTAACAATCTACAGCAAAACCATCAATTATTATGGGCGTTATAACATAGGTGTGCAGCTGGACGAAACATAGACGTCGAACCCCCGCAGACGATTTAAATACCTGACGAAACATACACGTCAAACCACGCTGAACGGTTAAAGACGCAACATGTTTCTACCCTTTCATGGGTCATCGGGTGTACCCAGCATCAGTCCGAGCTGTTGAGTTGCAGTCAGTTGTCATTATATTCAGTGAATAAGGATCCTTATTATGTCTTGGAATTAAATTAAAATGTGAATATATAACAAAAATTAAAGCTAAAACCCTTAGATGAAAATGTACTTAAAATTACAGGAGGAAAGATAAAAATGAAAACCTTGAAACAAAAGAACAAAGATTGAGACATGAAAATTAAAATAGTGTTTTGTTGGTAACACTTTGCGACCACTTCTTATAGGCCTGGTTTTAAGCCGGGAGAAGTGACTACAGTGTGGGGGACCCGCGTGATGGAGTCTTCTCAGTAGGAGAATACAGATTGTTGATGTGTAGATGGTATATTCTATACTTTGTATATCTTATTTGTGACACACTATTGAGATGCCATAAAATGCCCACTGAAGCTGAAAGGGCCATATTTTTATGCCCTTCAAGGTGTGTTTTAAGTGCTAATTTCCTGTCATAACTATTTGGTATACATGTAACTGCTTGTGAAGTCTGATCTTTCTTATGGCCACAGAAATAATCGGTTCCCAAGTCTGCAGTTACGCGATCTGGCAAACCACATAGTGGAATTTTCTCAAGATCAACACGGATCAAGGTTCATCCAACAGAAGCTTGAACGTGCCACTGTGTCAGAAAAGCAGATGGTATTCTCCGAAATCCTCACTGCTGCATATAGTCTCATGACAGATGTTTTTGGAAACTATGTGATTCAGAAGTTCTTTGAATTTGGCACACCTGAGCAGAAAACAACATTGGCTCAGAAGGTAAGGCAGAAGTTATCTTCAGTACCTTAATTTATAAAAAGGAGGGTGTTGAAAACGGTTTTGTTATCTTTTGATTCTTTCTTATTCATTCGTTGATTGAGGAATACTTCTGCAAATGGTCAGTACTTCTTACAGTTGAATCAAAATCTCATATGCTCTTGACTCCCTTCTTTTATAGTGGGATTTATAGCATTAAGATTTTTTATTCACAAGAAACAAATTCTGTGGCTTTAGTCCACAAGCGAACTATACCGACCAAGCAACAGCCGCTTGTCGGCAAAGTTAGTCCCACCTTAAGTGGATAGAGGGTGTCACTTGGTCAGTGCAACAGAGGTCCAAGGTACATGTTCATTATATTGATTTTTAAGATGTATAGTGGGTTAAGCAGTTAATGGCCATTGAGTTTATGTTTATGTAGCAAGCAGGCCTGCCACCAAGCAGTAACATCATATTGTTTGATTGGCTTGCCACGATTTCTCAAATTTTGATCAAAATTTTATGTCCTGCTCATCAAATGTTATTTAAATCTTGTATTTCAGGTTCGAGGACATGTGCTACCACTAGCGCTGCAGATGTATGGATGTCGTGTGATCCAGAAAGCTCTGGAATCCATCTCTCCTGATCAGCAGCAGGAGATTGTACGTGAACTTGATGGTCATGTCCTGAAGTGTGTTAAGGACCAGAATGGTAACCATGTTGTGCAGAAGTGCATCGAGTGTGTTGACCCACATGCACTGCAGTTCATTATCAATGCATTTTCAGGCCAGGTGAGTTTGTATTGGCATGTGATGGTCTCATCTTGTAAACTGTAGCTGTGCTGATCCAAATGGTTGCATAATCTATGATTACTCCCACCCATTACCACAGGTACCATTTATTTTCCTTAATATCAGACAAATGTAAATAATTTTATGTTGTAGTTTTCTCCTTCTTGTATTACTTAAAATTCTTGAAGCATCATCAGCAGCATTTGTAGATTAAGAATCTTGAAACTGGTTCTGTCCTTGAAACTTCTTTAGCCTGTCTCTTTCTTGGTTTCTGAAATGTCTTTTGGAAAGATTTTCCTTGGGAGATCACTTAAGTAGAACCAGTTGTTAGCCTGTGCATTTTACTGATGAAGATATTTTTTTGCTGTTTTGTTACATTTCAGGTGTTCTCGCTGTCAACGCACCCATACGGCTGCAGAGTAATTCAGCGTATCTTGGAGCACTGCACACAGGAGCAGACAGCACCAATCTTGGAGGAGCTGCACCACCAAACAGAGCAGTTGATACAGGATCAATATGGCAATTATGTTATCCAGCATGTGCTCGGTAAGTATTCCCTCTTGCTGTAACTTCACTTTTGTTGTTGGCTGTACAGGCTCCTTGCTTTCATTCATGAATGCCTGGTCTTAGTTACGTGAAGTGTGCAAAATATAAGAATATTGGGCTTGCTTGCAGTAGTGAAACAAGAACAGAGTGGAATGGGGGTGTGTTGTGTGCGCATGATTAGGTGGATGCTTTTCAGATTATCAGAATTAAAGATGGGGAATGAACAACCATAGAAGATACCACAGACAAACTGCAGAAACCAAATAAAGGAGAACTGAGTACAGATATAAGGGAGGGCTTGCAGGAGTATATATGTTTTTATTTGTAGCTTATTTAACAGCTATCAGTATCTCACACTATATGACATAGACGGATAAACTCTGTGGATTTTAGCCACAAGCAAACTGTACCGACCGAGTGACCGCCGCTTGTTGGTGAAATAGTGTCAACTTGGCGGATAGAGGGTGTCACATGGTCAGCGCAACAAATTCCCATGGCTGTTAATCTCGGTTTTCTAGACCGGAGCTGCTACCTTTCCCATCGAATAGGTCCTCAATTATCCTCACGAGGCTGGGTGGACCCTGTTCCAGACCCACTATTTCTCGGAAAATCTGGTAGGTCGGGAATTGAACCCGGGACCTCGTATCTGTAGCCAGGAACTCTGACCACTAGACCACAGGGGCGGTCACATAAACAGCTGAATTTAATTAATTATGACTTGGAAAGGATGTGGACTGAGACAGTCACTTTTTTTGGGGGGGGGGGNGGCTGTGCGCGGTGAGTCCGTGTTTTTTGGGGGGGGTGGGTCTTGAAGTGCAATCCGAGTATTTTCTTGGAGGTACTGTTAGAAGCCATGAAAGTCCTAAGTCAGGGTTTAAGTAGATAGGAGAAAGCTCTGTCTTGAGAAAGTAGACCCTTGCAGAAACATCATTGAATATTTGTAATGAAACATAACATGCTGTAGAAATTTCCACAGTAACTCCTGTCACATATGCGAAAGGTAATGATTATTTGAAAACGTGAAGAGTCCTGTCTCGTGGGATATAAAAGCACGTAGTCTTAAATGCAGACTACAAGCAGAATTCTTCCGGCTGTTTTCTTGCTTGACTTACTCTTCGTCCTGAAGATGGAGGTGGCATGTTCCTCTGAAATGTCAGTTGACTTTCAACACACTACACGGTGTTACATCCCAGATGATCAAACTCTTCGTAACCTCTTCTGTGAGAAACTCAGATCCTGCATTTGGGAACATGATGGATGGTACATGTACAGTGTCAGCTCCATTCTATTTTGTTTTGAAGTGACCTTTCTGTGGTTTCATCATTCCTGTCTTCATTACTTAATTGTGATATCTGAGGAAGTGAAAACAGCTTCAAGGCACTCATTCTTTCATCTTATGATCCTGAAAACCATAAGACTTGCAGAAAATTTATTGAACGTAAAATGCGTATTTTTGTTTTTGCTGGAACTTCTGTTCAAAGCAGTTTTCAGTGCAGGAAATATATACTGAGTAACACTTTGAGACATGCACAGAAATGCATGTGGTTTTTATGCAAAGAATCTGGTTTGAACCAAAATTGTACCATGTCAAGAAATTTTGGTAATATTTCCCAATATAACATATCATGAAATTTTTTTCAATGGTTCTCAGGTTGTTCCTTACAGACAGACATGATGATGCCAGAAGGTACATTTTTTGTGACTTTACATTGTGACCAATCCAGAAGATAAAAGGGCTTGTAGATCCCTGAGGTTGAGTGAGTGTGAACTGTGTGCGGAGTTCTCCTGTCTGCAGGACTGTGTTTTGGTTTGTTCAGAAAGTTGGTGAGATGACAGTGTTGGCTTCTAAGAATGTACCAGTAATGTGAACATTTTTATTGATGCATGGTTCGGCAGAGCACGGGAAGCCTGATGACAAGACGCAGATTATCATGTCAGTCCGCGGAAAGGTGTTGGTGTTGTCACAGCACAAGTTTGCCTCTAATGTCGTGGAGAAGTGTGTAACTCATGCAACACGCGCTGAAAGATCTTTTCTCATCGAGGAAGTCTGCAATTTCAATGACAGGTGAGTGATTATTCCAGGTGTCAGTAGACATCAGCCAGAATTTGTATCTGGTCGGTCTTGTTTAATTAATAGATAAAGGCACCTACCAGATACAGTGGCTCATATGATTTCAGCTGTACTGATGATGAATATGAGAAGTATGATGCTGCATATTAAATGTTCTTGATTATAGACCTGTATCATTCGTATTATTCAAGTACACAGTAATGCAACCATGATATAAAAGACACCTAAAATATATATTTTTTTTCACTGAAGGTGAAAAAACAACATACAAAAATTTAAGTACACAAAACTTCAATATTTGATACATAAAGACAACATGATAAGAATCATACTATTACACATTACAGTATGATGGCCAAAGGAAGAATGCAATGACAGTGTTCTTGATATTGTGTACAACAACAAAACTGACTTGCATGGGAGCACGAAAGACAAGCAGACAGTGCAGTGGTCTCCCCACAAATTAAAAGTTTCCTGATGATGGCCCATATGCAGCCGAAACGTTGCAAAATTAGGAAAAAAAACATGTAAAACAAAAAGACATTCTGAAGTATTTTGATAGTCACTTTTAGTGTATAAGGTATACTTGCAGTGTCATAATGGCATTTTATGATATTTAATAAAATTTTAAGGTATTAAAGTTACACTTTTAGTGAAAAAATATATATTTTAGGTGTCTTTTATTTTTATTGTTGCATTATTGATGGTGTACTTGAATAATAAGAATGCAACAGGATGCCTAAATATAATAATATAAACATGTAAATTGAGGAAGGAGACATATAATATATTTAAGATTTCTTTGGGGAACAGTGAATTTGGACATGAACTGAGGAGTACTGTTAATGGAGGAAGCTTAACACACAGATTATTGACCATGTGTAATTGAAATTGAACATGAAATGAAAGAAAAACTTAAAATTATAGGACATGAAATAGGGGTTCCACTGTTCTGTCATTCAATTTGTAAACAGATGTCTTTAGTTTTACATAATATTTTGACCCCCCTTCAGCCTTCTGAGCCACAGTACCCAGCCAAAAGTGACATTTAAAGAAATGCTCTAATTATCAGAGCCTTCAGAAATCTTGTGCAACAGTGTTAGAATTATCATTATTGTACAGTAAGCTTGTATAATTTGCTCAGGGTTTCTGAAAGCATAGCAAGCTTAGATTGATACCGCCATTTATGCAAGATGATCTTAACTACATTACTGACTTTTGATTTCAATCAAGATTGAGTTTGCATCAGTGGTTGTTGTGGCAATGAACTACGCACTCAGAAAGGTCTCCAGGGGGGTTAAAGTTGATGTTCTTTTAAACTATTAAGAAGTACACTTCATTTACTCACTTCGCATACCACCCATCAGCATAATGAATTTGGTTTCCATCATTTATGCGTCACCATACCTCATTTCATGCTTTCATGCATTGTGCCTTGCTCTTTTGTTTGTTTTCCCATATGCTATTTTGGCCCCCACCCCAGAACCTTGGTACTGCCCTGCTTTGATGTGCTGTATTTTATCCAGCGCCCTGCATGTCATGATGAAGGATCAGTACGCCAACTATGTGGTGCAGAAGATGATTGACGTATCAGAGCCACAACAACGCAAGGTGTTGATGCACAAGATCCGACCACACCTCAACTCACTGCGCAAATATACGTATGGGAAGCACATCATTGCCAAACTTGAGAAGTTCTTCATGAAGACTGCATCAGCAATGGGTGTCGGAGTGGGTGTGGGCGGTCCTGTTGGAGTAGGCGTCACTGTGGGTCCGGACCTTGGGCCAATTGGTCCACCCACTAATGGTGGTTTATGAGCTGTGCCCCCCTGTTAATTATGTACATAATTGATGGAAAGTGTAGAACTACTCTTTCTCTGGCAGTGACATTGGCTGTCTTATTTTCTTTTCTACTTGTGAAACAGTACATGGTGCTTAATTGCAGCTTGTTACAGACTCTTCCATGGTACATAGGAACGCTCAAAAAGAATGCTGATGTTGCATAGGGATGGAACGTACATTATTACATGTTGTTTCTGGTAATTCAGTTTTGTTCACTGGAGCGTTTGCATTGTTGCAATGTTGGAGTGTTCACAGTATTTTATTTAAGTTGTAATGGCTGTAAGAATATAGAGTTTTAGTTTATATACATCATGTTCTTTGCAGTTTGGTATAGACATGTGTATGATGGAGCATTCTATGCTCAGAGACATTTCTATTTTTAGAAGAATATGGAACTTCTTTAGTGAAGTGCAGAAAGCAGACTTGGTAGTTAGAATATTTAGTTTGTTGATTGCACAGGAGTTGAGATGTGTTTTGTTTTAAAAGAGAGTTGTTCCAGAAGGCCAAAGTAATATTTGCCATGCCCTGTCAGAGAGGAGTAGTATGAAACACAGCTAGGGATGTTCCAACATTGATAAAGGTGGAGCTCTGGATTGGTTTGTTGTGTTACGTTTTATATTTCCTTGGGACATCCCTCTGTGTTTCCATGATATGTCTCGTACATTGATTATCATCTGTAATTGATTAAAGTGATAAGGTGAGCATGATGATGATATGCTGTACAGCTAAAGAAAGTGAAGGGACCACCTCGTCCTGTCAATCTTCCAGAAACAACCCAATTTGAAATCAATTTTCCTCGCTGAAGAAGATGGATCATATAGCAGTTGTATATAGAGCATTGGTCAGGTTTTGTTTTAGTTAAATGCCTCCCTGTTATTGGGTGTAAGGTATTGAAAAATTAAGTTGGAGCAAGAAGACCTCTGTTCAGAATCAAGTTTGCATTTGGTTGTTTCCCCCCCCCCCTATATCTCTTCTCTCCACCCCATTTTATCCATCTAAGTGAGGGTTTTCACAAAGACAGTGCTACCAGAATCGGACATTGTATATAGATGATATGGCATAGGGACAGAAGGGTGAACTTTTATGTAGTGTTTCCTTCCTGTCAGTTGGCAGGACTGTAATCAGATTTTAATAGGAAAAGGACGATGGGAATTTTGAAAGTGAAAAGTACTTTTAATTTTGGCATTTACTTGCAATAACCTGCTTAGTAAAATAGAATAGTTTTTGTTCTTCACAATTCTTAGATCTGCAGATAATTGAAGGAGAATATGCTGTAAATTGAGTAAAATATATTGAGATTTCAACTAAATACTTCATTTTGTAAATTTCACAGTCAAAGAACAAAAATTACAAAGAGCAAGAATTTTAAAATAGTTATGTTGTGTCAGATGAAGCATTGTAATATAGTAGTTTATCAGGATGATGTTCTGGAATACAGTGAATCAAATGTAATTACTAGTGCAGAGTTACTGGAGAATCTGTTGTAATGCTTGGTGGGATTTCTTTAGACAGGTTTCAGTATGTCTGTTGCAGAACGGGCAGCAGGCATATGTCAGGTTTATACATAAATGCAGTTAGATTCTAGGCTTTGAGCAAATTTATTAGATGAAAGCTGCAGTCATTATCTTAGGAGCACTTCGAAAGGAACGCATGCATCTTCACCAAAAGACCTGCTCTGGCATGAAACAAACCATCATCAAATTGTGATAAAACCCTCAGGTAATAGTTGCTAATGGATTTTTTAAAGAGACTACAAAAAGTTTAAAAAACAAATGTTCCATACAGTCACTGGATGAAAACATCACACATCAAAAAAGTAGCCAGCAGAAGACAACAGGCAATATGCATTGTTATTTATTGCTGAAAGGCACTGTTACTGCTGGGATCCACATACCTTACCCTCCTCTTCCCCCAGATGTAAAATTAGAGAAGTATTAATTAATTGAAATCGAAATACTGTACATTTCTCCAAGGTCGTTGTGTAAAAAAATGCCGTTGATACTTTGTGAAATATCTCTAGAACAGTTGTACAAAAAATACGGAACAAAGTTGTACAGTTTTTAAAAAAAAACTCGTGTAAATTGCTGCAGTGCATTTTTAAAACAAAGGCAGGGTTTAAATATCGCATTCTTAAAAATTCATCGCCAAGTCAGATAGATCCCATTTTTTATTACTCAGATGAGGTAATTACACTTCCACACTTGCCAAAGTTATGTCCTTTCTGCTAAAAGTGTATAAGTCTTCATTTCTGTAGCTGGCAAATTGGTTATGTAGCTTCATGTTTCGGAACAGGCGTAGCGATGTGTAGTGCAGGGTAGTCAGCTGCCTTATCCTCTGGCTTCGCTCCACTTACGTTTCATTTGCAGGGGTTGTGTAAATGCTGTAAACAGCCAATTGGAATTTGAAGGATAAATATAATATTTATGTAAATTTGCTTAATCTGGATTCTCATGATCGGTTACAGGATGTCCACAGGTGGGTTTATTATCTCTTGAGAAAATCCTAGGAATTCCATGTATAGGTAACATGAATGTGGACCAATGTAAAGGAAATTTGATGAGCCATCACGCACTCCCATGGCTGTTTGTACCTATGTACTGTATGTGTATGTTAAAGACAAAATGCTTTGTCATTGTCACAATGCTTTCATTGTTAGCACAGGAAACACACTTTGTTCATTTCCTAAACACAAATCACACATTCGAATCTTGTGTATTCACCACAATCACTTATACACACACAAGTTGCTTCATTGCTCAAAGAAAAGTGCATTCATTGTTGACACCCCTTACCGCCCATTGATTGCGAGGAATTCACCTGGTTCAGATAGAGTATGTAGTTTTTCACAAGATGCACATAGTAGATGATGGGGAAATTCAATTTTAAAGTTATGTCTATGTGAATTTAGTGTAATCACAAGCACTGTAAATAACTTGCTCCAATCTATCACATGTACTGTGTAATGTACCCTGCCTTGAATGTTGTAGGGTATTGGCGAAATTCTTGATGGAGTGTGTCCCAAAGTGTGTGTTGGAGACATGATAATGTCTGCATTATCACAGTAGATGACATTCTTGCAAATCAGTTTTTAATAAGTGGGTAGAGTGTATATGCATACCAAATTATTATTTTTAAGAAAACCTTTCTTTTACATGTTTGTTTAGAAAAGTGTTGGATGTTTATAAAAATTTGTTTTGAATTGTGACTTCATAAATTTGTTATAATTTTACTAGTACCAGGAACTTTAGTTTATATTTCAGCAAGTAAAAAGTCGAAAGTTCTTTTCTTTGCTTGGAAGTGCCCCACTTTGCATTTATGTTACATAGTGCTCATGCATTGCTGATTTTATGCATCAACACAGATCATTTCAAACAGAGTAATGATGTCTTTGTAATTGATAAAGTAATTAAGTCTAAAATGTAATTTGTTTTAGCATTGATCTTTGAGTATTTTAATACAATTACTGTCGTACAAGCTGATACTTTGGGTCATTGCCAGGCTTGTGGATTTTACCCATATTTGCTTCTCTCCAGTAGGTTGAATGTAGTTTGCTACAAGTTATACTTTGTACCAGGGAGGTGGGAAGCCTGCTGGCGTTTACAGTGTCTCCAACATTTCCCACACCTTGTTAATGGTAAATGCCAGACCTTTGTCGTCCTTCCCCTCACAATAGCATGTATGTAATTCATAAAATTTGCAGACTAACGGTTCTGAGGGCGTGGAACTTTTTGTAGCTGACATAGATGTGTGTTTGGATAACAATGATCTGTCTTGTGTGTTGTATTATTATTTTTATTATTATTATTATTATTGATTAATACTATAAATACTGAATTTCTAAGATGAAATTTGTTTACTGTCATAATTGTAGTGAGAGGTAATAGTAGCTGGTTAGAAAATATGAAGATATTGTAGAATTTGAAACGCTATTGATTATTCTTAATGTTCATGATGCGACTGTTTAATTTTCACACTGAAAGCGTCCACATCTTTATTCAGAAAAATTTTCACTCTTCGTATAAAGTGTACAGTAATAGTAGAAACTCACGTAACCCTTGTATAAAGCAACACTGTGTGTTGTGTAGCGCAGTGCTTGGACGAAGTTCTACTTCATAATTTCATGTCATCTATCCATAACATGTAAAATACTCACACATTGATCATCCTTCAAAATTAATAATTACTATTATTATAATTATTATTGTTGTTATGACAGTGTTACAAGAAAAATAGCCTGGGGACATATGTACAGTTTGTACTGGACAAGTATTTATTTGCAATACTGTGTAAATTTTGGTAATGTTTATATCCTGGTTGGATTTTGTGATATGCGTTTTCATTGTTTACGTAAGTAGTCTTGACTTATCTCACTTCAGTTCCTCACGAATTGTATATAACACATGCTACACAGACTGTGCATTGCCTGTTGATTTGTGGAAGATTGAAATATAACTCAGGCAAACAAAATTCCTAGTTGATGGGATTCGAATAAAGGTTATTTTTTAATTTTGAATTAAGATGTGGATTGTTTTTATTAGATGTTTCTTTTTTGAGAGCATCCCATTTATTTTTTCATAATCTGTAATATATATCGTATAAACTACTTATTAATGATGTAATGGCTGTAGCTGTACTTTTTCATATATTTGCATGTATTTTCTACAAATAATACTTGTAGCATATATACATATAACTACTTATACATAAGTGGTATGAAGATGTAACTATGTTTAGATGTTGGTTAGGGTTCAGACATAAAGAATTTATGATGGAAGAACTAATTTGCCTGTGAAATATTTGTATCTGAGATGGAAAGTAATGTTCATTTATTAAGTATTGATCTCATGATTCATATCCAGAATTGGCAGAATATAAGTCATGAAACTGAGAGGTCACAGCGTAATGTGGAAGCATGGAAATGATTATCCCCCCNGAGGGTCCAAGGGTAAGGTGGAAGCAAGGAAATATTTTTTCCCCCCCCCCCCCCCGATGTTTGCACAGAATGTGTGTTCAACACTGCTGCAAACATATTTCCAGTACTACTACCTGTATTGTTAGCACTTTCTAATTAGAATCCTATACCCCAAGCACAGTGTGTTGTAAGTGAAACAAAAGTTTTGTGTTGGAGTATGTAGCAGGGCAAGTGTCTTGGTCAACAGATACACTGCTTTTTCTTCTTTTTCTTTGCTTTTCTGTGTTTATTTTATTGTGTGTTTTTGGGGAGTAAAAGAAACGCAAGATCATAAATGTATAATAATTTCAAATGCTTGTGTATAAGGTTGTAGCTCCAAAATACATACTATCTCCATAATAAATTACCTGACAGGTTGTATATATATTTTGTTAATATGAATTTGAAATTGGTAGGTAAGCAGCATGACCAAGACATGGTTGTCAGTCTTGTTTTGTGCTCCAACAGGAACCTGCAGTTGGGCAGACTTGGCTGTAATATGGCCATGTGTCTACTTTCTTGTTAGATGTTTGGTACTTTTGTGTTGATGTTGGCATTTTGTGTGTTGAGAAGCTAACAATTTTGTCACCTGGAATATAGAAGAGGAATTGTGGGTTAGAACTGAATATAGATGCTCTTTGCTGCTAAAAATGGTAGGCCATAATTTTTAGCATTATTCAGAACCTAACTATGCTTAGCCATCATGTGAGACAGAAAGTTTTTTTTCTTTTTAGAAACATGAACTATGGAGCAAAATTTCTTTTTCTGTAGAAAAAGGTACACTTGTGCGTGCTATATAAACTGAAAATAATTCTTAAAATATCTAGAAGGTTTACCAGGAGTCAGTTTAAGATATTTGATGGTAAACAAAGGAACCAAGTTTCAGGTTAACCCTTTGTATTTGAGTTATCAGTCATTGTAAATATTTAGGTTTCTTTTTTTTCTTTGTCCACTCCAGGAATATCACATTTGTGAAGAGTGCCCATTATATGAAATTACTACTGAATCATAATGTTCATAGTGGAGTTATAGCTGAAAGGGAATTAATTAAAGAAAAGTTATATATACATATATATATAATATTAAGGAAAAAAGTTTTGTCAAGACTGATGTAAAGTAAAGAAACAAAACAAAAACAAAAAAATCTTATTGAACAAATTAACTGCATTTGTATAATGTACGTATTTCTATGGTTTGCACAGCTTTGATGTTTATATATTGTAAAAAAAATGCCAAAAGCTTATGATAAGAATCAATTAGGCTTTTTTGTACGTATATAATAATCTCTCTCTTGTTCATTCCTTTTAAAAAATGTTTTTAAATGTAGAAAGGCTTTAGTTATTTTGTAATCATTCATTAACCATTTGCACATATTTAACACATGAAAACATAACCTATAAGAAATGATTGCTTGCATAACATTTATGTAATGTAAGAATTCTGGCTAATTTAGGATACTGTTTCGAAATTTGTTTCTGTGTCTTGGCATTAGGGTTCTTTCTGTGTGTTCTGTGCCCACATGTACACAACACTTGGATGCGGAAGATACTCGGCGTATAAGTGTTCTTTGTGTCGCTGTTTATAACTCTCTTCCCAAGTGTACTATGCTGTTTTCTGGCTTGGTTTTCATTCTTTTAGAAATATTTCAAAGTATTGGATTAGTGTTATATTGGCATCACTCTTCACATAGGTTTCTGCATTATGTTTGGTACCCAGTGGTGAAATGAAAGTTTTGGAAAGAGGGCTGGATGCATATTCCAAAAATCACAGAATGAGGATCAAGTGTGAATATTATAGGATCTCTGCAACCATTGCCCCTCAGATGCAGTCACTCCTTAGGACACCATCATGACTCATTGTTTTTCTCAAGGGTTCATTTTATATGCCAGCTCTTAATATTGGAATGAGCACTGATCTCCTGTCGTGGGTTTCGGGTCTTTGCTAGGGCAGGCAGAGCACACAATAATTTTTAACCAACAACACTAGAATATCACTTTGTCCCTATTCACATTTTACGCTGTTGATTATGGTCTGTACAAATGCAAATATTTTTATGTCCATAAAAATTTGCACCAGAATATTTTATGAAAAATTAGTTGAAACTT